CATCTGAAGACGACAAATCTGAAAATTGTATGGCAATCAGAATGTGATAAATTGATTTTTTATGGCAGTCTGAATGTGACAAATTGATTTTTATCAGAGTCTGAATGTGACAAATTGATTTTTATCAGAGTCTGAATGTGACAAATTGATTTTTTATGGCAGTCTGAATATGACAAATCTGATTTTTTAAGACAATCTGAACTTGACAAATCGATTTTTATGGCAGTCTTCCCTAAATCTGACCCAGGTCTTTTCCACATGTGGCACAAAATCAGATTTCTAATGTTTTTCAAAGTGACCTCAGTCTGAACGTTCATGTTGCGTTTAGTCTAATGTTTGTCAATATTGGTAATATCTATACTATGGTCATCAAGTTTTAAAGCTCAGAACTTTACGTCTTCAGCTACAGAGGAGAAGTCCGGTAGATTAGTCCTTTTTTAGATTTTTAAAATTCATTTGGTTTTTCTGTAAGGGTCAGCTTAGCTTGGTTAGCCTAGCTTAGATGCTAGCTCACCTCATATTATCGCCTTTGACCACTTTTATTAGTTCGCTTATCTGTTTCTTGCCTTTACTATTTATCAGTTTTGAGTATTTCATCAAAAATATGATATTCCTATGAATGTTTCCCAAGGAGGACCAGAAGTGCTACAGCTAGCTGCTGCTGGTATTTGCACACACAAAAAAAAAATTTCTATGTAAATAGCTGCGTAATTAGAAATGAACAGCAGTGTAAAGTATTTTAAAATAGTGCTTACATGCGATGACATCTTCTAAGATTTTATTTAGGATACAGGCGCTACACTTTTGGTTGAGATTAGCCGTTAGCTTATCAATTGGGAAAACATTTAACTTTATTTTTCCAAACGGAGGCTGTTTAAAGAGTTACCTGCAACAGGTAAGATATTAAATGTTCATAACTTATCCATAGAACCTCACTTCAAAAAGATTAAACTGCTGATTCAAACCGTTCATTTTGCAGAAAATTGTCCTGAATACTGCACAAATCCACACACAAAAAAAGTTTTTAAATACTTTTTGCTCTCGCAGAAGGTTAGATTCATGCACGATTGGCCCAAAACTGAAATTATTGTCTAAACAGGAGCCGAAAGGAACTGATGGAAATTCTTCTGGTTTTCAGAGTTCGCAGACTAGACCAGGTTGCTCTGGATTTCAGATCAAGCTTTGCCGTGTGTGTTGTGTTGACAAACCTGAGCGCACACACGCACGCACGCACGCACGCTCACACACACTTGGACACGTGGAGTGTTGATGCTGGAGCCGTTCCCAAGGGGCCCCGTTCTGGCCATTTGAGCGTTTGCCAACTCTTGATGAGAGAAAGCGTCTGGTGGAGTGAAGTGTAACTCTCTGCCTCCATTTCCACAGTAGCTGTAAATTTAAACACCCCCCTCCACCCCCTGAGCAACTTCTCATGCTCAGTAAAGACCCCCCACCCCCAACGCCAAAGATTTCAAGCTCTGCTGGCTTGACAAAAATCATTTCTTGCAGACTTGTGAGGAATGTGAAGGATTGAAAACACGAATGTGTCGCAGCCGCTCTGAGGAAGTGGTGGGTCTGAAGCGAGCTGGCAGCCGGGTCGGGGTCCTGGTGTGGGAGGGCCTTCCTGTGGGGCGACTGGGAGGCTTCATCTGAAACTAACCTGACTTTAGTTATTATCGCCCGAAGGTGAAGGTGGAGACCCCATCTGTGCAAGCGCTTGTTACTCTCTACTGTTAGCAAAATATCTCGTGAACCAGCGGATGAACATCTCACTAATACGTGATCTGTGCTGGTAAAACGAGACACGGCGGGGAATTTTTCAACATCGAAGTGATCTGAGTTTCAAATTCTCCATCTAAAAAGCTTCAAAATGATTGAATTTGGCAATTCATCACCCGGCTAGCAACAAGCTAGTTTTCCCGGCTAGCAACAAGCTAGTAGTTTTGTTTACAAGAGTGTCAGGTTCAAATCTACTTTTTGGCGGGGGTCTATAATGATGTCATTGAGATTTCCTGCCATAAAATAAAAAAGGGAATCCTTAAGCTTCATGGACACCAAACATTACACGATGGGATTTCCCGTTGCTACGGCAGCTGGCAGAGAAAAGTGGTCAATTTCAAATGAAATAAAAAAATTCAATTAAAACGAGTATTTCTGAAGACATACCTGTCAGAAAACAGATTTAAAGGTAGATTAGGAAGATTATTTGCTTTTTTTAGTCTTGTGGATCGATAGATGGGGGACTTTGTGGACTCATTTTCATGCAAATCTCAACTATGGTAAAAATGAATGTTTTCATTTATTTTGCACTGCAGCCTGAGCTCGTTCTGACTAACATTCACAGTCATCCCAATTCAAGATGACCTCCCTGTCTGTGACTGCTGGCTGTTCTCCAAAGCTTTGCAATAAATCTAATGAATTCTACACCTGATTCAAAACATCCTGATTCGCGTATATGATTGGATTACGACAACAGGATTATCTGCTGTTTGGAATCGGCGGGATATCCACAAATTAGGAAGACGTCGGCAGCAGTTTTGGCAACGGTGAGGCGGCCTGCCTATGTGAAGGATTGTACCGTGCTTCGAGCGCTCAGACTCGGATGCTTTGTGAGCCTGGAACTCGCTGTCATGAAGGAATCGACCTTGGAGAAGGCTACAAGCACAGATCGACGGAATGACCACAATCTGGTTGTTTGGATTCACCACTGAGTGTAGCAGCAGAAACTATGAAGGTGGACATGAAATCAGTAGAGTCTGCCTGCCCCCAAAACAACTGTTGTTTATCTGAAACTGGCTTCCCCGCTTGGCCTTGGATAGGCCAACTTATCTCACATTGCTCCTTGAGGATATGTAAATCATGAAGCTCTGCTCTGCCCCCCACCCCTAGAACATCTGTGGACTTATCAGAGTTGAGTCGGCTGATAGACACTGTGCCATCTTTATCAGGACTATGGAACTTTATGGTAGTGTTCATGGACAATCTCACTGACTTTGTCAGCCTCC